TTTACAATGATAATACCAAATGGCTTGAACGGAAAGTCGCTGCAGGGAACGTGTTAAGATAAAAGGCTCTATTGAAAGTTATAAAATACCTAAAGTAAATGGAGGTGTAGTTACTACTTCCATTGTTAAAAATAGGTTTGAGAAAAGTAAAGTAATTTCTGCACCCTTCAGCAATTCAACTGGCAGTTCTCAAAATAATAATCTGCCACTGTTCATAAGATTTGTAAGAAAACTGATTAAAGTTTTTTTTTTTTTTTTTTTTTTTACAATGCAAGTAATAAAAATGTTTTTTATGTGTAAGGTACTTTTGTGTTGCTTGCATTTAAGAATTAGTAACTATTTAAAGTTAATTCATTATTAAAAACTATATTTTTATCATTTTGCGAAAAATCTCCTGATTTTTGAGTGTCATAGGTTGGCAATAATGCTATTACTTTGTCATGCATTATTTGAAGTAAATGTTTCCTTCTTGCCTCAGAAAAAGCACTGCCTCAAAAATAAAAAATTATTGGTTTGTAAATTTGGTCATAGCCAATCAAATTGATTGTAAAGTACAAATTAATTGAATAACAGTATTTAAGAGAGGTGCATGCTAATCATATACATATTTAAACAAAATTTAGATTTAGATTGGCAGTGATTTTATTGGAAAACTGTATTCTGAGGAGCCAGGTAAAGGCCTTTCATTTTTCACTGAACAGAAACATTTTGTAAATGTTGGTGACATGAGTTTTTTCTTAACAGGTACAAAGGGCTTGAACATGATAATTGGAATGTATACTGGCAGCAGGTGAAATTCAGTTTGAAAGAAAGGTTTTTTTATAATTAAGACACAATAACACGCCGAATAAATACTAATTCAGAAGTCAAACAACAAAAATCAGCGTTATACCTACAATTTTCACAGGACTAGTTTCGATGGTTTTACCGAACCATCATCTTCAGCTGCAAAACCGCAATCATTTGCAGTTTTGCAGCTGAAGATGATGGTTCGGTAAAACCATCGAAACTAGTCCTGTGAAAATTTTGTAGGTATAACGCTGATTTTTGTTGTTTGACTTCTGAATTAGGTTTTTTTATGTTCAAGTATATGAAAATTTTTGGTACTTTTCGTTTCGCCGGTGCGAATCTCGCCAAGCAGACTATTGGCGACAACACACAGTATATACACATAAAAAGTGTTTACAAATGTCAGTTCTAAGATTTTTTTTTTTATTTTGAAGGTATAAACATTTTAATATTGTTTAAAATTTTGTAAAAAAGCCAATAAATAAAGACAGTAAATTTGTAAAAAAATATTAATTTAAGAATTTACTATGCTTTCATGGTACAACATCCTGATTCTCCGGTTTATATCATGTGACCCCAAGTGATCTCATCTCATGTAAACTACGCTACAAAAATCTAATTCTCTCAGTAATTATCAAAATTAATTTCAAGTTAAATTGTAATTTGGAATACAAGTTTAAATGCAAGAATTATTTCACTTCGTACAAATAGCTTACTCAGAAATTATGTAAAACCACTGTGCTTTACTTCGCTAGTGCATTCTCATTAGAACCGATGAATTTAACCCTTGACTTTGCCTTTTCTATATTTTTGCCATTGGATGAGTGTTGTGATTGCATCCTAGTTGACTTAATTGCCACTCGCGAATGGCCTTAGGGCATAAAATTGAACTATTAGGTAAAAATTGTATGTAATTTGTATGCCAGTATTGAAAGAAACAATCAATCTGATAAGAAATAGCTGCGACTTGTTTGTTTTAAAATGAGGACTAAAAAAAATAACAGCAATGATATTCTGTTTGGCATCGGTTGTACTATTGGCGACTTTATCAGTTGCGCCTGCAAAACGGAAAGGTACCAAATTTTTTTGCGTCTTTGCATGCCTCACACTAACAAGAATGCAAGAAGTGAAAGAATTTACATTCAGATGTTAACCAATTATCCATATTAATAGGATTGTCTGCCATATTTTATACAAGGGTCAGCAACCTTCTGGCTATAGTATACCAATCCAATCTACCAATATGTTTCAAGATGCCACACAGTAGGAAATATTTGAAACAATTCGATTTCCACCGCAGTGCATGCAGAGTTTGGGAATACAGGTTAAAAATACAAAGAGTTTTATTATATATCAATTATCCATCATTTAAGTAGATTTATTAGCATAAAAATAAGTATTCCTTCAACATAGTTAAGTAAAGCATTTAAATTGTACACATATTATGTATCTTAAAACGTATTTAGTAAAATAAAGAATAAACCACAGAAAATGTAAGTATTCAATACAGTGAAATAAAAAAATTGAATGCGAACCTTGTCGCTGTACCACTCTATTTAATATCACAATATCAGTACTTTGTGGCTGTCAATTTGACACCTAATTCAGAATGTCCAGTTGTTAAACAGCTTCTTTGTGGACTCAAGATATTTTTCATATGAGGAAAGATTTATTCATATTGATACATAGATTTGCCTTTGCGAACTGCATAGTGAGCAATAACACATTTCGGTCGCTTTAGGTTTGGTTTCAGTTGTTTGACAAAAAAATGTAACTTGTTTCTTATATCTTATAACTGATCTTTTTGTAATTTGGAATGTGGACTGAAATTTAGTTTGAAAATGTCTTTGTATACTTGACATTAGATATACTGCGCTTTTGCAACATAATACATGCAGCATGATATTTTTGTTGTACGAATCCATACTCTTTCTTCCAAGCATCTGAAAACCGCAAACATCTTTTCGTTTTTTAGAGACAATTTGATAAAATATGTAGGTATGAATAGTCACAATTAAAAAAGTAAATTCTTAATTTAAATTAAAATACATTCTTAATTTGAGTTTCCACACTAAAATTAAGAATTATTTTAAATTTGACGTGTCAAACGACATGCATCAAACTAAATTCTACTTTCAACTGAAATCATACTTATATATCTGGGCGACAAAGCAAATGAAAGGAGAGAAAATGTGTGATGCACATGAGTAAGACAGGATGGCAAAGATAGAACAGATATCTTTATCTGATAATTGTACAGTGCCACGGAGAATTGTACTGCATGCCATAATTTACCGATGACAGTTTTATACTATAATCTGAATGAGATAAGAGTTTGTGCAAGGTTTTCCTAATGTTTTTATCCTATAACTGAAAGGAAAACCATAAATAAATTTGAGGTCGTGTTTTTGGTGTGATTAAATCAAACTTTTATTGGTTTGTGTGCATTTATGTTATCAGAAAGCCATTGAAGATGAATGTACTTTGTATTGCCTAAAGACCAATTATTACATTTTTCATAGAGTATATTAATATTGAAATATTAAGTGAAAGATTTTACTTTTAATTACTAGTAATTTGAAAGGCACAAAATCTGTAGCTTTTTGCAAATTGGAGAGGAACGTCCGAGATGAAGCTCTTTCTTCTTCAGAGCTGAATTGAATGAAATTGAATGTCTGTGATAAAGCTTCAGAATTCTAGGAAACTAATTCAGAACTATTTATTTATTTCCTGTTAAAAAGGGTAAACATTAAATAAAATATAGCTCCTTTTGTAGTAGGCTCAACTAGTCTTTTCATTAAAAAAATTTTAGAATAAAAAATATAAGTATAAAAGTGTTCAGTAAGTTCAACATGTGGTAAAGTTGCAGTATTTTTGTCATATTATCGAGAATACAAGCAATGAGACGCAAATCCCACATATGTGTATAATGTGCATATTTTGAGTGCACATGGATTTTTATGTTTTATATGCATGTTCAGAAAGAGTGACATCTCAACTCTTGTTAAAGCCAGTTTAATTGGCTATTTTTTCATTTGCATATTAAAACACCAGAGTCATTACTAAGAAGACACCGTCAAAAAAAAAAAAAAATTCCATTGGAATGGAAGCCTGTAATGTAAAATTTAATTACAAATTAAGTAAATCTGCTACTGAAACATTAAGAGCCATTCACACTGTTATTTATCTCAGCTAACGGAGACATCTGACATAGCCGACCCATCTCAAAACCAGTTTTCCCCATAGTGCAGCGAGTTGAAAAATCTGAACTGCATGTATAGCAGAGCTAGTTGACACGTGGAGTTGACTTCGTTAGCTCAGATAAACCCCGGTGGGAATGTCCCTTTAGAGATGATTCGAATTGTGTATAATGTTTTTATTAATAGTCTTTAAAAGTGCTTTTTTCAATGTAAGAATTGTACGTAGCCTATTCGGAAACTAAGTACCGTTTCATTCTAGTGCCGTCGGAGCGCTGTGGTAGGCGTCTCGCACATGCTCACTAGTCTTTCTTGTTCACTGACTTTCAAATTGTCGCCATTTTGGTTGCTCTATGTTGTGTTTTCAGTTTGCTGTTCACATTCAAAATGTTTAAGACAATTAGTTCTCCCGCTGACTGCGAGATTCGTGCCATGATTAAATTTTTGAATGCGAGGAATGTTAAACCGGCCGAAATTTATCGTCAAGTGACAGAAGTTTACTGTGAATACGCGATAAGTGATGGAATGGTGAGAAAGTGGGTAAGAATGTTTAATGCAGGTCGAACAAATGTCCACGCCGAGGCTCGGAGTGGTCGGCCTTCTGTTGTCACCGATGATTTGGTAAGGAAAGTTGATGAAGCAATTCATGAGAACAGACGCTTCACAATGACAACTCTTTCAGAGACATTTCCACAAATTTCATGTACTGTTTTGTTCGAAATTGTGTCTTTATTATTAAATTATTAATTTTTTATAGCACTCTTGTTCATTATATTGTAATAAATGCATAATAAAAGTATTTAATACTGTTTATTTGATAGCTAGTTCATTATCCCTGGTCAAAAAAATTATTCCATTTAGTCGTGTAAAAGTCTAAAAGATAAATTTCGGTGGGAGGACTGCATAACCATTTAGAACAGCGAAAATGGTATTTTAGTTTATTGTGTATACAAATTAAGCATATATGTAAGTATTTCAGTCTTTTATATCAATTATAAATGTTTTTTTTCTCAGGTTGCTTGGGGAACCAATAAGGTTACTGATGCCTTTAAAACTCCATATGATTTATTCGTCTTCCATCAAAAGGTTTGCCATTATTTTGATTTTTTTTAACATTTTGATAATCTATGCTATGGGTTAGAATTTATTAACATTTTCTGAAATTTTTATTAATATAAAATCACTAATATTTTCATAAGTCTAAATTATGCAGTCGTAGATGTCTAACACAGAGCTGTTATTTGTATGATAAAGAGTTTTTCAGTAAAAATCTTTTCTGCTGTACATTGTCCAGACTTTCTGCAAATGAATAGCTTTCTGTTTTTATGCAAATGAAAATGTATGGGTTTGCTTTTAAGTTGCTCTTTCTATATGTATGATTAAAAACTTGATTTTCTTGGTAAAAAGAAAACTAATATTTCAAGCAAAAGTTACAGTGCCGTCATAAAATCTTTTGCATATGACATTTAAAAAAAAGTTCTTTGTTTTTGTTTTGTTTTGTTTTGTTTTGTTTCATTTGGGAATTAAGTACCTGGGTAAATCAACCATCTGTAATGGATGATGTCATATGGGACTAACTAGTCATTTACAGATAGTGTTAAAGATCCAAAGCTGTAGATATGCTTTCAGGATAACAGCATTAAAAAAAAAAAAAAAAAAAAAAAAAAAAAGATCAACAACAAATATCAGTACATACTTATTAGCACAACTACCTTGTTGCTGTGAGATGCTTAGAAAGAATGAGTAGAAAAAGAATGATGGCTTATAATTGTAAACAAGTATTTATTATATAAATACATGTTATATATATTTTTACTCTTTAATTAGGTACTTATCCTGAAAATCAATAAACATATTTACTAGTGAGGTTTTTGTTTCTTTTGTTCTGGTGGGAATTTTGTGGCATTGCCCTACATTCAAAGCAAAGTTTTCTTTATCAATTTTGCAGCAACTTACTCTTTTCGTGCCCAAATTTTATGTAAGTTTTTTCTATTGCGGGCAAATTCCACAAGTACATATTTTAAAATTGAGTTTAAGACAAAAAGGGTTTAAAATTGAGTTTAAGACCATGTTCCAATGATATTTATATATAAAAATCATTGGTACATGAAATACAACAAAAATCACATAAGTAAATGATGATGTTGCTTGTTAAAAACTGGAGAGTAATATGGGTATGTGGTTAGAATTTGGCACATTTTGAAAATTTGATTACTTCTATTTATGGTAGTACAATAATTTGTAAGTATTCAATATCATCAGTATAACAGGAAGTCATTGACTCATGCTCGCAAAATTAATGCGTGCAAGTATTTTGGTTAGACAAGGTAGTGATCTTATTTGACATTAGCTACTGGTAATTTATTTTTAGCTCAGTTATTTATATTCAACTAAATATTTTATATATTTTAATACTTGCACTGTTCTTGATGCCCTGCAGGCTCCTAAAATCTGATCACAGTGGTTGAACTTTTATTTGCCATTCTGAATGAAAAGTTAATTTTATGAAACATTTATTCAGATTGAGTTGAAATGTTGTAAGCCATTTGAAAGTGTTAATGCAGGAGGTATTTATGTACAGTCAAAAGTCTTTAATCCGGATCTCAAAGCTACAAACTTTCTGCGCATGCGTAAACACATAATTAAAAACACATGCGCATAATACGTTTATGCATGTTCGTTTAATGTATAACGGATGGTATAAGCTAAGCTAAAATTATCTAATTATCTATTTCAGTTAATGTTGCAGATTGCGCTATTCCTTAATCTTCGAATTGGATCCGGCTTATTATTTTTTGCAGACTGTTAGAGCAATTTAATAAAAGTAAGCTTGAACTTTCGATTATGTCAAATAGAATTTCCGATTCTGGAGCTGCCAAAGGAACTACAAGGCGAAAGCATGTTTCGATGTATTAAACAAAAAGTGGAATTGCTGCAAAAAAATGGATAAAGGCATGAAGAAAGTGGCAGAGAGGTGATTCGTTTCTCTAACCATTCCGAAATCTGTTTATCAATTTCACTACTAAATGTAGTATTTCCTCTCAATGTACTCCGATATGATTTAAATCAATTTCCTCATCATTATAAATATCACGAATATGCATAAAAATATTTTTCTGGTTGCAATTTTCTAATTTTGACTATGCATAATGTATGCTTTATGCATGCGCACGTTGAAAGAAATGTTTAATAAAGTAAACATATAAATATTAAGCTTTTTTTTTTTTTTTTTTTTTTTTTTTTTTTGTAAATTTTGATACCCTTTAGATCATAATTGCTCTTTATTTCATAAATTATGGTTTCATATTTTCAATTGTATAATTTCTGCATGCCATCTTACCAGATTTAAACTGATGATCTATAATCTGGAATTGCCAAAGTCCCAACGAGTCCTGATTAAAGACTTTTGATTGTATTATCCTGTTGATTGTAAAAATTAAATACCATTGAACCATGATGGTGAGGAAATTTCACTAGTTGTTCATGTGGAATTCTGAGCCACACTTCTATCTGCAACTCTTCAGTTTCTCTGAACAGTTCACAAAGTAGCCACTGCTGCAGAAGTATTTGATTTGCTTCGTAAAAAAGCTTTTTTCAATTTTTATTATTTTGTTAGGCTGTCTGTTTTTAATGTAGAAAACTGAGTACAAACATCCTGTGGGGGATTTTTCTAATCTATTATTATTTCGTCTCCCTTTCAGCAGATGTTAATTTTTTGATAGCTGTAAATGAAGTAGAGTATGGTCGTGTGTGATTCTATAGCCCTCGAAATCTTCCCAATTGAAACTGTCAAAAAAAAAATGGAATAATTTATGTTGGTGACAGTTTCATAGTCAGCAGGATAACACATAAGTACCCCTGTACGTTTTAAGTCATTTGGTTATACATCATTGGTAAGTACTGCCAAAGTAATGATAATGGTTGAAAGTTGATAATTCTATGGTTTTATTTGACCATAGATATCAGTCGTTGACCTTAGTTCCGTTACTGTGCCATGCAGTTTATTTAATCATCCACTGTTTGCTTATATTTACTTACCTAGCATTTACCTCTATATTAGTCACTATAATAGTTACTTGCTTGTATAATAGTCAAATAATGATGATGGTTAAAAAAACTTTTTTTTTACAAATTTTGATACAACCTATTTAATGAAGGTCCAAAATCTGAATTATCTGTGGCTTTTCATTATCCTTAGTAGGTCTTGAAAGCACACCTATTATAATGAATGAATGTGTATTGAATGACTGTAATAAAAGGGAATGTGATAAAAATATTCCAAACTTCTTACAGTATCCACAGTTGTTCATGATGACATGAAAGTCTGGAATTATTATACAGTATTGTTTTGGCTTTCATTAGGACATTAATATAAAATTCTCTTTTTCATTGGACATTCATGATTCTAATATCACTGTGTTTCATATAAATCAGATCATAATAAAAGTAATCAATGTATTATGCTGCAAAATTACGGGCATGAAAATTTAACATAGCTTTGTTTTACAAGACACACAAATTATTTATTTTGTAAGGTGCACAGTTTCAATGCATTTGGCCTGTCTCATTGAAGAAAGTATGTATTTAATTTCATAAACTGATTTGTGCTTTAATTTCAGGTGAATCTATTTAAAGATTTTTCGTATTTTCTTGTTTTATCTTTAATTACAGATTATTGCACTGCAGTACATAAACCAGTCAATGGCGATATTTTTCAGTAACTGTAGAAATATTTCAGATGTCTCGATGACAGTTTGGCAGTGTAAAATAACAAGAATTATATGTGTGGTTTCATATCATAATTATGTGTTTTTTGTTTTAGCTGGTGCAGCTATTTCCCAATGAAGCAAAAGTTACTAATCAAGAGAAGTATATTCCACCTCTGCCTCGTAAGTCTGTTTTTATGCTCTTTTAAACTTGTAACAGTTATTTAATTTTTTTTTTTTTTTTTTTTTTTTTTTTTTTTTAAAACTTTGATTTTTGGCAATCATCAAAACTTCTTCCGTAAATTTTAACAATATAGCTTTTTATTTTACTAATTTTTTAACATTCCTTAGTATGAAAGGAATTTACAGTAGGTAACAATTAGAATGAAGCTTTTCACTTGTAACATGTTTAGTAATTATGATATTCAGTTGGCTGTATTTTATTCCATATCTCTTATATAGTTGCAGATTTCAACATTGCATTTAAAATAAATGTTTCTTTCGCTTGTTGTGCTTCTTATCCTGAAAGCGCCCCCCCCCCTTTTTTTTTTCTGATTTTGCGTCGGAACTCTATAAACGTCGTATTACTTTTCAAATCATTGCAACCAAATACTATCACCCTATATTATATTTGAAGAAATTAAATAATGAAGAATCTACATAAATCTGTATGTTTCTCACATTTTGATAAAACAGCGGTACCTAGAATCATTTAATTTTGAATGATGTAATCCTATTGCGAATATGGGCATCTGAAAGCCCAAATTTGAAATTTGCTTATTTCATATTTTGTAAAACTTTAACGAATTTGTGATTAACAAACTCAAATGATTTAAAAGCGAGCAATGGCAACATTTTACGTGTTGGGGGGGGGACTTTTTATGTGCAAAGAACATGATATTTTATAAATAAAGATAACACATAAAATGTTTAAAAAAAAAGCCCCTTCTGTCTTAATTTGAAATCTGAAACCTTTCAAAAAAATTTTTTTTTTTTTTTTTTTTTTTTTTTTTTTATAGTAAAGTACTTTTAAAGATTTAGGGAATATAAGAGCATGACAGAAATGATTTATATTGCCAAGAGAGAGCCTGATGTATACGATAATCCCTGATTAAAACTTAATAAATGTCTTCTTTGTGTTTCCAGAAACAGGATTGTTAATTTTTGATTATAATCAACTGCTTGAGAGAATACTAATAAAAGGTACATACAGTTATAACTAACTGGTGGAAACTTTTAGATTGATAAATGCATTGCAGTGATATAATCATAGTGCTTAGGTTTCAATTTCTAAATGAATTTATTTAAAATTTCTTATGTAATTAGCAGTAAACCTTTTCACTGCATGAGGGCAAAAACCAAAGGGTACTTTTGCCTTGGTAGAAGTCATCAACACTGCCATTTTCATGTGTGATCTCTTTTGTTGTGTTCTAAGATCCAGTGGTTTTTCTTGATACTTTTTGCCTTAAACTTAGAATTTTCAAATATGAACTTGTGGATTGGAAGAAACTGAAGTAAAATTTCTGCAAGACTGCAGAATTTTGCAGAAATGTTTATAAAGGGAACAGTAATGAAATCGGTTTCCTTGATACCCTTTGTTGACTAGGGTTATGCAAAACTAAGTCTTTGGAATTCTCTGATTTTGGTTTTTAAGTGAAAACATATCACTGTGTACTTCGAGAAAAGATAAAGTTTTGAAAAAGAATGTCCCCCCCCCAAAAAATTATTTTATTATTTATTTATTTAAATAACTTAATCCTTATTTAATAATTCAAATTTCTATTTTAATGCTAAAGTGTGTTTCATTTTCATATATTGATGATTTTTACTGACATACATACAATAAATATCAAGAGTTTTGAGAACCTTTCTAAAAAAAGATGTAATAAACCCCACCACTTGCACCCAATAAGTAACTTTTACTTTTTTATCTAAAAAAACTTGCCAAGGTGGTTGGGTTAATACATAAATACCAAACAAAGGAAGGGGTTACTTTATGCTTACTTGCACCCCCACAGAAAAGTCACAAATTCGTTGGCAGTTAATTTTTCGCTAAGCTGACATATAAAAGGTCAACAGCCATTTTCAAAATGGTTGCACGATATGTTATGTATCAAATGGATCTTTTTGGGCATGCATTTTAGCTTGATAGATGTAAATGTCTGTATTAAGTAATAGAAAATATTCTCCTGCAGTAATTTTTTCTGGTCACTATTTTTATTGTAATTAATGATATATAAATATATGCTAAAATGGCAAAAGAAAAGCATGCAAGGTGTAATTAGTATTTCTTAATGCAGATGTATGTTCAAGACTGTGCTATTACATACATCAAACCCGTAATAAACAAGAGGGCAAGATGAATTTTGAAAAATTCTGAAAAGGTTCAGGTTTTAACAGTTGTACAAAAGCGCTCTTTTAATATAATTTATCAGTAGAGATTATCAATAGAAATGGCCCATTTGGAATAACAAAGCATTTTCTAGGATAATAGATAAATATACATTTAGCCTAACATAGGAGCATTATATGTCTTCTGTTAATTTGAAAAATGAATCTATAGATATATATATATATATATATATATATATATATAATGTAATTCTATGAAAATATTTAATTTTTTTAATTAGATATATCATGAATTAAATGCATATTTATTTAAATAAATTAGGTTGAAAAGTAAAAGAAAATAATAAATATTCTTAAAAACTGTGTCTTAAAACTGTCTGGGCTAATAGGCTTTGGTTTAATTATTATGGTTTGCTGTTACATTATGGCCAGGAAAATTGTGCTAACAGAAATATTACAAATTTAGCATTTAGATTAATCACTTTTTGATCAAACATTACTAGCATTAATTTCAAATCTGACAATTAATATAATATTGACTCATATTTGACTTCATGTAATAATGACAGTAAATAGTACAATTCAGTTCCATGTCAGATACTTGTTAGAAAGTTGTTTATCAGATCGTTTAATTCTGTTCTCATCATTTTATATATTTAGTATATTTTTTATGCTCACATTTGAGACATTTTTTAACATTTTCTTTTTATTATGTTATTTTCTTTTTGGGAATTTTTTATTTGTAGTATGTAAAATTTCTTTGAAAAAATCTTGAGCAGAATATTTTGTACTTTGTTTCTGTATTATTATAATGTTAGAAACTGTATTTGCCTATTGTATCTTCTGTTAATGAGTTCATCATATGTCATCCATTCACTAGTGAATTATGAGATGTAAATGGACCTAAGTTTATCACATCAAAAATGTATTAAAATGTCTCTAGTATGAGATAAAATGTTGTTTAACATTTTATTCATGATTGAAGAAGTGAAAGATAATTTTTGTAATCTCTTTTTAAGATGCAATAGCTATTTGGAATAAACAAAGTCCGTTGTCAGAAAGTATAATATCCTCTGTAACAGAATACATTCAGTAAGTTTTATATATGTTTATGTTTATTTTAAGTATGCCACTTTCATTTAAAATATATGTTTAATTTTACTGGAAAATAATGTATTACTTCAGTACCCCATTTTATGAAAGTAGACTGTTCTGAGTATTTGCTAAAATGACAATAGAAGCTGAAAAAGTCTGTGTCGTTAATTTAGAAAGTGCACTCATAAAGTAACCAGACAAATTAAAAGGCCATATGATAAAAAAAGTGGACAAATAAATGGATGTTTAGAAAGAATGATATTTCAACTCTCTTTAAAACCAGTTTAAATTGGTTATTTTGTTGTTTGTATATCAAAAGGGCAGAATCACTTTAATTTACTGAGAAGACATCATACAAAAATATTTTTTTCAAGACAGTACGATGTTATAACATTAAATTCCATTGCAAGTTACAGATAAGTAAACAGTATATGGTTATGTATCATTATTAAAGACACAAGTGTATGAGTGTTACAACCACTTTAAATGGGGGCATAAAAGCAATAAAAGGTTACCAAGGCATAAAAGCAATGAAGGGTAGCAATGATAGGATGCCCTTCAGTTTCAAAGTATGTTAAAAATGTGGAGAAAGTTCTTTAGTAAATATGGATGCATGTATAACAACTTAGCAAATTTTAGACATGAGATAAGCAAAGAAGGCTGTAAGTTAATTTTAATTGACCTATTGAAAATGAGGAAGGTTTGTGATCAGCGTCTACCTCAGATTTTGACAGAAAAGCTTGCTGTGAAGATTTGCTAGTTACTGCAAAACAGGAGAACAATTTCTTAAAGTGTATCATAGTGGGAAATGAGACCTGGTGTCTACAATATGAATCAAACAAAACGAGAAAGTGTGCAATGGAAAGAAAGCCAGCCTGTTCACTTGGAATCGAACCCATGTTGTAACTATCGGTGTTCTGTAATTTTACCACTCAGCTGCAGGTGTGCTCCAAAGGCTAAAAAAAATGCTGATTGCTTTTTTTTTTTAAAATTATTACAAAGGATTTATTCACCATGAATTTGTCCCTGAAAACCAATCACTTAAACGGTATTTTTATAAGGAGGTGTTGTTTCAATTAAGAAATGGGATAAGGCGAGTTAGGAAAAAAAACTTTTTAATTCTGGGTAATGGTTTCTTTTATACAGTAATGCTTCACCCCATACAGTGTTGTATGTACAACATTATCATGTTAAGCATTCAGTTGCAGTGATAAATTATTCTCACTTATCGCTGAGTTTTCTCTTTATGAAAATGTGTTGGATATTAAATCAATTTTCACACTGTTTTGTGAACGATTAGTTATAATGCCTATAAACAAGTGTTTTGATTACCTGAAAAAATGTTGGATAAATTAAATAGGTTTCTCTGGCAATTACTTTGAAGGAGATAAATTTTTTTAAATGTAAGAAATGTTGGATAAATAGGTTCCTCTGGTAATTATTTTGAAGGAGATAAATTTATTTAAAAGTTAGTATTCTTTTTCTTATTTATGAGAAACAGTCTGGTTACTTCGTGGATGCACCTTGTATGTGGGAATAGCTTTTGAATATTTCCAGATCTTAGAAATCATACTAAATATTTATAAAATTAGAATAATTGTAAAAGAATTAATAATATATTTCATATTTCCTGTTTATATGAGACTGCATGTAATAAGCAGGACTGTTATGTCAGTTCATTTTGGAAAACCAAAAAGAATACAAGCACACTTAAAAAAAATGATATCAGTAATGAAAGTATTACTAGTAAATAATACATCAGGGTTCGTACGGTCCTTAACCAGTTAACTGTGGCGGCCTTGTTTAAGAGTGTGCACCATTTTGTGTTGCCAGAATCGAGCCATGACGAGTATATTCATCAACCACAGAGAAAGTTGCACTGGTAAGATATTTGATGGAAAAGATGGGTTTATTTTATGAAATTGAAAATTTTATTACTAATATTTACTTATTTGGTTAACATAAGCATATATTACATACATATTAAACTAAAAACGCAATAAATTAAATTAAATATTATACATATAAAAGTAATAATTTAAATTCCTGCTGTGGAGTGATGTTCAGCGACACAGGGTACTATAAACAATGGGACTTTGCAAATTGAACACCAGTAATGCGATTCCTTGCTGATCTTACGTTTGTAGCAATGTGAACACCTTCGCGTAGGTTTTTTTTTCCCGATGTTCCGAGTATATAATCTGGAACATGATTCCCGCCTAATTGTCTTATATTAGGTCTAAATAGCCGAGGTTGTGTCAATTTATTTCTTTCAACTGGATGCATCGCAAAAGTGTCTTAAATAAAAATTTGAGCAAAAAGTTGATATGCGATAATGTTCCATTATTTTTTTATATAATACAGTCAAAAGTCGTTAATTCGGACACCCATAATCCGGACCTCAAAGCTACAAACCTTCTGCGCATGCGTCACGTTCACGCATGCGCACAGGCATTTACGAGAGCGCGTAAGACCCTTACGGCTGTGAATATGTTTGTGCGCATGCGCGTTTAAATTGTAACGGAGTTATACGCTAAGCTAAAGTTATCTAATTCAGTTAATGTTGCCGATCGCGTTGTTCCTTAATCTTCGAATTGGATCCGGCTTATTATTTTTTGCAGAGTGTTAGAGCAATTTTATAAAAGTAAGCTTGAACTTTCGATTATGTCAAATAGAATTTCCGATATATATTTACTATAAAGCGAAAGTATGTTTTGAAATCCAAAATCTGTTTATCAATTTCACGCTGCTCTGCCGCAGAGGGGGGGGGCAGAAACGTCATTATTAGATTATGATAGATTAGAAAGATTATGTCAAATAGAATTTCCGATATATATTTACTAATATGTAATTTGTATCTACAAAGCGAAAGTATGTTTTGAGATCCGAAATCTGTTTATCAATTTCACACCGTGGATTGGAAGTTGATCTGTCAGCACTATCCTTATCTTCAGGGCAGATGTTTTTATTTTATTTGGTTTATAATTCCATACTAAGTGTAGTATTTCATTCTGTCTTTGATATGATTTAAATCAAGTTCCTCATCATTATAATTGGCTTCGCTTCGTCATTATAATTCGCTTCGGATAGTGAAGAAAGTAACCCAGAGGTTATTGAAAACGAAAACATTTCGATTGACAATATAGTCGGTATTCTCAACATAGCAATTACAGGACTTGAACAGTGGAAGTTTGTAACTGAACAAGAAATTATGTCTGTTTAATAGAATTAAAGAGAAAGTTATTAGCACATGAAATCGAAAACAACTTACATTGATAGGAAATGTTTAATAAAGTAAACAAATAAATATTAAGCTTTTTCTTTTTGTAAATTTTGATACCCTTTAGATCATAATTGTTCTTTATTTCATAAATTACGGTTTCATATTTTTAATTTTGTAATTTCTGCATGCCATCTTACCAGATTTAAACTGATGATCTATAATCCGGAAAAATCGATAATCCGGAATCGCCGAAGTCCCGACGAGTCCGGATTAACGACTTTTGACTGTATGAATGCATTCAGACACAAAATGTCTAAGGAATGGAGAAATATCTTTTTGTAGTACTTTTTGAGTCGTTTTCTTGCTGTTGAGTACGCTATGATAATTCCATCGCTCATATCCACTCCACCCATTTTTTTATTATAATCTCCGGTTTCTTTGTTTCTATTACGATGTCATTATGTACAGTACTTACTAAATAAACCTCCCTCTTATCTTTCCATTTCATTAACATAATATACGCATGACGAGTATACTCATCAATACACAAAATCGTGTTACTTCTCCATAACGAGTATACTCGTCAATCACAGTTAGCTGGTTAACCCCTTCGCGCCGACTGTCACGTCTCCGTGCCAGCAACGAACACACTCACTTCCCGGCCGACATGCAGGTGTGCCAAAGCGTTTTCTTGTTCAGCCCCGACTGTCACGTATTTGTGCTAGTGTCCTGGAACGTTTTAAAAACTATAATTTCTGCCACAAGATGGCACTGTATGTCCATATGGTTTCAGATACATGTACATTAGACCTTTTACTCGAAATGAGAGAAGCATGACTCACATACACATGTTTTTGATTATATAAACAAAAGGGGAAATAAATGTTTCCGAATGGCGTGATTTATGACATCTCTTTAAATTTGCACGTGGTAGTTGTTTATTTGTAAGTAGAGAAGTTTTATTTTCGCTAAAGCGTTGGGTATTTCGGTTTGCAGTTCAGGTTTTAGAAAATAATTAGATCTTGTTAAACGTGAATTCCTTCTGTTTTTACCTTTGCAATGTCGAAGCGTCGAAAATGTTTAACAGAGCATGAAATAGCAGAAATGATGCAAAATATTTCGGATATTGATTCTGAAAGATTAACTGAAAGACATTTTCCAAAACTTTGTTCAGAAGGTACTGATAAGAAAATGAGACGACGATGCTTCGTTTGTTCACGTTCCCAGAAAAATCCTCCAAAACGGCAAATGAGTTATTACGAGTGCAAGGAATGTAACGTAGGACTGTGTGTAGATCCCTGTTTTCAAATTTTTCATACGAAAAGAGAATTGTAAGAAATATATTTAGTTTTCAGATGTATAATGTTAAAAGTCATAAAATGGTGAGTAATGAAAATAAAATGTGTAAAATATACATTTAAACAAGAAATAAGGTAATTAAAGTATATATAAAAATATCTATAAAGCATAAGCCGTTTAAATACTCTATAGAGCATTATTAAACAATGCGTTGATACTTCGGAAGTTTCATGGATTCAGGCTTAATAGCAAAAAAGCCCCCGGCCCTGGACAGACGCTCGCATAAGACACTGGCGGCCTCCCTCCGCGATAAGCGAGCGTTTGGGCTCCCGGCGCGAAGGGGTTAAGAGTCCGTAGGTTTTTTTGGAGTCAATTTTTGGTCCTTGAAAGTCCATAATTTCCACCAAAATTGGCAGAAGTTCCTTAAATTTAATCATCTGAAATTTCTGTCTGTTTTTATGACTGCAATTTTGAG